CATTGTACCACCTTGAACACGTCTGGTCTCATCTGATTTTAGACGCTACTGTAAGCAGGATCAACCCTGCCAATTACTTGAATGGGGACCATGAGGGAATAATCTAGGAATCTCAAGGTAAAGTTAGGAAAGAAACCTGCCTGAATCCCTAGGGAATGGCTGCTAGTCAAAGTTGACAGTACCAGACTAGATGAGCTAAGTGCCCAAATCAGTACAAGACAGCCAGCTCCCCATGTCCCTGTATAAGTGCGCTGGAATGCACCAAAGCCCCTAAAGTAAAGGTGAACAACTTGTGACTTTCCAGATGCTGCTGAATCCATGCAATCCCACATTTTTGCCCATGCAAGCTAAAGGTGATGGAAGTTGCAATCCAACAGCTATAGGCAACTCATGAATAGAACTGGGATGTATAGCCAACCCCAAAACTGTGAGGGGGAGAAGTACTCCCCACTGCTCAGGTGAAGAGCTACAACTACCAATGGCATTTGGAGAACTGTGTGTCGCTGATCCCCATCATATAGTTTCAGACTACAAGGGAAGAAGTTCATCTCTGAGTAGAACAATCTGTCTTTCAAGGATGCTTGTCCACCATTGTGAACTTCAATAAAGAATCTCTGGTACATGCTCAAGCGTCCCCCAAAACACTATTTTGTTTTAAAGACACTGATTTATACAACAAGGCTGAAGTTCATAAAATAAAAGAAGGATTAAATCAAATATTTGTTAAATGTTGGCCAAAAGTATATTTATCTTCATCACTGGTGAAATAAATTAACTGATTCTTAAGTAATATTAATATATATTAAATTATTGTGGAATACGGTTAACCTGAGGAGTATCTCATCATTGGATTAATTTTTAAAAAATTGTCTACTTTGGTTCTTTCCTGAAAGAAACTAGTCCACCAGTAGTACTTAAACAGGGAGTAAGGAGGCAATATGGTCAAATGACATTTTAAGAAGCAACTGCCAAAACTCAGTGGTTATATAATATTTAGCACTTATGATATATGGATACACATAGTTAGAGACTAGCTCCTTTAGGGAAGTGGAAACCAGATGATGGTACAGTAACTTGGTCCATTTTTGTTTTAGTTGGCCCATAGTTAGAAATATGAGAAAGGAGGTTAGATACCGTACACTTATCCCCCTTTCTAGCTCTACGCCCAGCCAAACGGTACTAGGTGACCATATCAGCCACTCCACGGGCCACATGGTACTGTTGGTAAATGCCAGGTTGGCAAAAAATAAGACCGCCCTTATCCATGATTTAATTTTGGATGAGGGAGCCGACCTGGCATGCATCACTGAGACCTGGGTGGGAGAAGAAGGAGGAGTTCCTCTATCTCAGTTGTGCCCCCCTGGGTACTTGGTCCAACACTGGGGTGGCCTGGAGGGTCGGGGAGGAGGCGTGGCGATAGTCTACAAGGATTCTTTCCACTTTTCCAGACTCCCTGTCCCCTTGGGAAATAGTCCAGAGGGCCTATATTGTGTGTTGGGCTCAAGAGACAAACTGGGGATTCTGTTGGTGTACCGCCCACCTGGCTGCTTACCAACAGTCTCTCTACCTGAGCTGAGAGAGGTGATTTTGGACCTGGTGGTGAGGACTCCTAGACTTTTGGTACTGGGGGACATCAACCTCCATGCTGAGGCCACTTTAATAGGGGCAGCTCAGGACTTCATGGCCACCATGACAACCATGGGGCTGTCTCAACATGTCATCGGCCCGACTCATGAAAAAGTCCATAAACTTGACCTAGTATTCTCAACGGGACAGGGGGATTGTGGTCCAGATGTGGTAGGTTTATCTTTGACCCTGTTGTCATGGTCGGACCATTTCCTGGTAAAGTTTAGACTTTCTGACACTACTATCCTGCAGGAGTGGAGGTAGTAGTGGCAATTAAAATGAGACCCCGGAGACTTATGGATCCCGAAGGATTCCTTAATGCTCTAGGGGAGTTTCCAGCTGATATGGTCGGTGCTCCTGTCAAAGCCCAGGTTGCTTTGTGGTACAAGGAGATGGCCCAGGCGGTTGACACGATCGCACCTAGGCACCCTCTCCCTGCCCGCAGAACCTATATGGCTCCATGGTACACAGAGGAGCTTCTGGCTATGAAACGGTTGGGGATATGGCTTGAGCGCACATGGAGGAAATATCGCTGCGACTATGACCAAACACAGCTTAGAGCCCATTATCGGGCCTACTCTGTGGCGGTATGGTTGGCAAAACACCAGCATTTCTCCAGTCGTATTGCTTCCTCGGCATGTTGTCCAGCAGAAATATTTCAAGTGGTCTGGGACCTTCTTCAGCCTAATGGTTCAGTGGAGGTCCCGGACTGCTCAGTGCCTCGCTGTAACAAATTTGTTACATACTTTCAGGGAAAGATTGCTCATATTTGCAAAGAGTTGGACTCCACGATGCAGAGCCTATGGTTGTATCCTGTGCACTGGATTTATGTCATAATTTATTGGATGAGTTTCAGTTGTTACGACCCACAGATGTGGACAGGGTGCTTGGATCGGTTCATGCCACCACTACACAACTCGACCCTTGCCCATCATGGCTAATAAAGTAATCTTCCAGGGGAGTTTGCACCTGTATCCTGGAGGTCATCAACTCCTCGTTAAGAGAGGGAGTGGTCCCTGCCCCGTTAAAGGAGGCAGTGATTCGCCCACCTCTGAAAAAACCTAATCTGGACCCAGGTCTAGTGATCAACTACTGACCAGTAGCGAACCTCCCTTTTCTGGGCAAGGTGTTGGAATGTGTGGTGGCTGAGCAGCTACAGACTCTCCTGGATGAAACGGATTATCTAGATTTCAGGCCGGGTTATGGGATGGAGACTGCCTTGGTCACCATGTTTGATGACCTTTGCTGGGAGAAAGACAGGGGGAATGTATCCCTGTTGATTCTCCTAGACCTCCCAGCAGCTCTCGACACCATTGACCATGGTGTCCTTCTGGAGCGGATTGGCTGGGATGGGAATGGGATGCACCATTTTATGATGGTTCCGCTCTTACCTGGCTGATCGAGTCCAGAAGGTGGTCTGGGGGACAGTAGCTCTGATCCATGGCAGTTGCTTCACTCAGGGCTCTATACTGTCTCCCATGCTATTCAGTATCTACATGAAACTGCTGGGGGAGGTCATTAGGAGGTTTGGGCTAAGGAATCAGGAATATGCTGAAAACACCCAGCTTTACCTCTCATTCTCTACCAATCCAGGTGTGGCAGTCGCCGATCTGAACTCGTGCCTGGACTCGATAATGGACTGGATGAGGGTCAATAAACTGAGGCTCAATGTAGACAAGTCCGAAGTGCTGCTGGTAGGGGCTCTGCCAGATAGGTTAAAGGGCCATTTCCCTGCCTTAGATGGGGTTACACTCCCCCTAAAGGGCAAGGTCCACAGCTTGGGGGTGCTCCTTGACCCCGGTCTGAGCTTGGAAGCCGAGGTTGGACTCAGTGTCCAGGGGTGCCTTCTTACAGCTCTGGAGAATATATCAACTTTGCCCTTACCTGGAGAAGCGAAGCCTGGCAACAGTCATTCATGCACTGGTAACAACCAGTCTGGACTACTGCAATGCACTATACATGGGGCAGCCTTTGAAGATGGTCCAGCAACTGCAACTGGTACAGAACCGGGCTGCACAGTTGGTAAGTGGTGCCACAGCATGGACTTATATCATGCCAGTTCTGAAAAATTTACACTGGCTGCCAGTTGCTGCTTGGGTCCAATTCAGAGTGCTTACTTTGACATATAAAGCCCTAAATGGCTTAGAGCCAAGTTACCTAAAGGACCTCCTTCTTCCATACAAGCCTGCCTGTCCTCTAAGATCAGGCCAGGAGGCCCTTCTGAAGGTGCCATCATTGAAAGATGTAGGGGGGATGACATGTCGAAATAGGGCCGCCTTGGCTGTTGCCCCTCAACTTTGGAACACCCTGCCTTGGCTGTTGCCTCCCAACTTTGGAACATCCTCCCTATAGAGATCTGCCTGGCTCTAACACTTGGCTTTTCGGCGCTAGGCCTTTCTGTTTAACCAGCATTTTAATTAAACAGTATTCTTTAGCTGGCCATATGAGCAGCAGGACTTATTAATATTAATGTTTTAATAATTGTTTTTAATATAGGATATTTTATAATATTGTCTATTTTAATGTTTTAAAAGTTTTAAAAGTTTTAATATTGTTGTATGCCGCCCAGAGACCACTGGTATGGCTTGGCTAAAAATATGATAAGTAAGTAAGTAAGTAAGTAAGTAAGTAAGTACTTTTAAACATCCACCAAGCCTGGGGAGGGAGCAGGGAGGAAGCCAGCCTGCCCTGCGGACGTTCCATTAAATGGCCTAGGACAGATGGCTTGTGCCTCATCCCACAGGTTTTCCTAGGGGGTGCTCTTCCACTTGCTCCACAAGCTGCTTAAATGGGTTCACAAATGTTTATACATTGGAGAGTAGGGCTTTCCACCACATTCCCATTACCCCTTCCTACACATTCATTGTACAGTATGTGCAATGATAATTATGCGTTCCTACAAATACTAATATGAACTAAGCTTGAGGCAAACAGCTTTCCTGGTGCTTCAGAAATCTGTTTGCTTGCATCTTACCCAGTGTAGAATAGTTTGGGGATAAAAAACAGTACCTCTGCTTATTTTTAACAAAATCCCTACCTCCTTGTTTATTTTATTTAACATTTTATCCAGCCTTGCCTTCTAAAGTTTTCTATGGTTAATAAAACAGTATGAAACATAGTAAATAGATGGCTGCAGGCCAAACATGGAAAAGTAAAAGAAGTCAACCCTCTTCAGAAACAAGCTAGGCCCAAATGTCTTTCAGTACATGTGAAGCATTAGAAGGCAAAGGTAGAGGCAAACCTCATGGGTAAGCATATTTCACAGAATTAGAGTCACTACAGAAGACACCCCACAAGGTATCCCAGCAGCTAAAACAAAGGATACTCTATTAACTCTAAGCAAAGCATTCATATTTGTAAAGGAATATACATACTCTGATTTGTTCCAGGAAGCCAGTAGGCCAATCTTCCTCCCATCATCGGGTATTCAGCTGTAAATTTTAGCAGGCCAAAACTCAGATAAGAGTTTGTGAAAACAGAGATGTGATTTTTCTTGGCTAAGTGATGTATTTTTAAAAGAAATAATGAATAAAGGAACTGGATGCTACTTTAGTTGCATCTAAACAATATTAGCTTACTAAATTGTTACATTTGGGGGTGAATGAGAGGTGGGAGAAATACAGCAGCATGCAGCGAATAGATGCAGAACTGTTATGGCCATTGGGATGTGTGCACCCACGATCCCCTATTCAACTTTCATTACGACACTTCAAGCTCCCGTAATGCAAACCTGTGAACCAAACATTAGTTGTGGTTTAAGTGATCAGGTGGGCCATGGGGCAGCGTTCTTCATTCTCACCATTATTCCTCTGTTGAATGTAATTCCCCCCGCCCTCCGTCTCTCTCAGGTCTGATCCACTGACTTGTCTGACCTACATATGGTAACCATGGTTGGACTATCTGGTTTCAGAGCACTGGCTGAAGTCTTAGGGAATTGCTATGCCTATCTAGATCTCCAGGCAGGAAGACAAATCTCAGGGCAAATGTTGGTGGAGAAAGCACAAATCTGATTTTTCTGTGTGAGATGTCTCTATAGCCTGGGTATGCATCTTCATATACAGTGGTACCTCGACTTATGAACTTAATCCATATTGGAACAGCAATTGTCAAAGAGTTTGTAAGTCGAGGCACGATCTCCCATAGGAATGCACTGAAAACCATTTAATCCGTTCAGGCTGTTTTTCGTTCATATGTCGAGGCGCTGTTTGTACGTAGAGGCATTAGTTCCCATAGGAACTAATGCAAAGCTGGTTAATCTGTACCACTAGGGGGAGAATTTTTTTCTTCTATTTTTTCTTCTTTTGAACTTAGGTCAAAAAAGGGCAAGAAAGCTTTTTTTTGTGTTTTTCTGCACGCAAGTTGAAGCAACATTTTACGAATGGAGCCGTTCGTAACTCGAAACGTTTGTAAGTAGAGTCGTTTGTAAGTCGAGGTGCCACTGTATTCCTAGCAGGCACTCAGGTAGTAGCATCGCAAGACCTGCCCTCAATTTCAGGTTTTAGCCTAGAAATCCCAGAGAATAGGATGCTAACGACCTGGCAACCCTAGCCACGACTAGAAATACTTCTAATTCCCAATTCAGGACCCCTGACTCATCTTTGGCCTTTAAACCATCGTTGGTTAGGATTATGCCTGTACTAACTCACAAAACCATGTAAGGAATGGCCACAGAAATGACTAAGAAAAAATGGCCAGGGATTAAAAACGACTTTCAGTTATGGCCATTACCTCCCCAGGCTTTTTGAGCTGAATTTTTTTCTATAGACCAGTAGTCCCCAACCTTGGGCTTCCAGAGGTTCTTGGACTACACCTCCCAGAAGCCTTCACCACCACCTCTGCTGGCCATGATTTCTGGGAGCCGAAGTCCAAGAACATCTGGAGGCCCAAGGTTGTGGACCAGTGCTATAGACCACTGGTTCTTAACCTTGGGTTACTCAGGAGTTTTGGACTGCAACTCCCAGAAGCCTTCACCACCAGCTGTCCTGACTGGAGTTTCTGGGAGTTGCAGTTCAAAAGCATCCGAGTAACAAAGGTTAAGAACCACTGCTATAGACTATACATTCTATTGCTAAAGGAGTATTACAACTGCTTGGGACATCTACAGCATATTCTACTGTGGATTCCCCTGTGGGCCTGATTTAAATTTGATTTCAAAAATTCTTTCATGTCATCCAATCATGTGACAGTCGAAGAAAATAACTGGGGCTAAAATCCTCTTAGCTGACCATGATCTGGCATTTTTTAATTGCTACACAGTATCCTAAGATGAGAGCATTGTTTCTATCAAAGCACTGCGATTATTTAGACGTGTTTGAAATATAAGCTTGGCAGTTCCCTTAACAGGCAGCAATGGATGTTTAGGGAGAGACAGACCAGGTAAGAAAGGAGAAGGCAAATTAAAATATAGGAGTCCTGTGACAGCACCATTTTCAGTGTGAGAGTCTATTTATTAATATTTTTTTCTTAGCATAGCTATGCCTCTTAGGAATTTCCTTAACATCAGCTTCATTAGTTAGGAAGGCAGCAATCCATAACCAATTTTCTTTTCATGTTGCGCTTGTTCGGATATAAACCCAGCCCTTTTGTTAAAAACATTTGCAATTAATCCTTCAAACAAAAGAAATGCAAATCTTACAGTCTCCCCTAACCAAAATCATCCAACTCAAGGCCCTGATCACCATCTATTATACGCTAAAATGAATTGAAATTCCCACTTTGAGCCTAACCTAATTTTCTACTGATAATAAGCATGGATTCCCAGAAGCACACCATGCATCTTGATAGTAACATCCTAATTTCCCTTCCTGGTAAATGTTTTAAATAAGATTTTAGCACCAAAGGAAATTAACCTTTAAATTAATTGTAATTATAAAATGCCACTGCTGATTTTGTCTGCAGCCTAATTGCTTGCTATTATTTAAACCAGCTGCACCTCAGCAGAGCTTTTAAGTTTCCCAGAGTTACATAGCACCAGCCAATCATGATGTCTGGATCTGTTTGTGACCAGATTGGTCTGTTTGTGGTTCTGTGAATATCAGAGCAAGATGTTAAATTCATGTGACAAACAAAACTGAGACTGCCATCACTGAGGACTGCGTGGGAAACATGTCACGTGAATACCACAGATATTTCTACTCCCCGCTCCCCCCGGGAATGTTTTTTGAGAATGCTTATCATCTACAGCTACTCAATTTTTGCAGTGTGGATGCAAATCGCAGTTGCACATCCCATTTGTGCCATCATTGACAGATTAATTATTCATCCTGCTCCTCATTTAGGAACACAGGCATCTCTCTTTGGATCATTATGCACAATAAAATGATCCCAGAGCTTTCACCTTGCATGGAGAAATGGCTGGAATGGAAATGGTTACACACAAGTTCCCTTTCCACCCATCTATTCAAACTGGCAGCCTCTCAAGGCTGCTTGTTAATTATTAAAAAATCTGAAGAGTATTTTAAACCTACTGTGAAACATTACTTCTGCCCCTAACATTAAAGCATTATAAGACAAGTGAGTGCAAAGATGCCTGCTTAAGGACTATTTGTCTGTGCCTCTGGGACCGGAAAAGCAAATATGCATAACTGTGCCCTATGAGAATGTCTTTTTTTTCTGCGAACAACAGACTGCCCTCTTGCCATATTGCAAATGTCCCTGTATTTCAAAAGCTCTTTTTCCTTGAGGCCTGATAAATGTCTTGTCTGAGAAACACTTGTTCAAAGACCCCTTTGGATGTCCAGAAAGAGTTATGCTGTTTGTTTGAGCTCCTTGCTCAAACAAAAACTTCGTAACTATTGTGGATTTACCTAGATTCTCCCCAGAGAAGCTGAAAAAAACACGCTTACAACTCACACCACTACAACGTAATGATAACAATACTTGACATTTGTAAAGTACTTACTGTTTTCTCAAAACTGCTTTGCATGCACTATTCTGTAATACTTACAACAGCCCTCTGAGACAAAGTCATTACCACCGCCATTGTGAAGGCTAAAGAAGGGGCTAAAGCTTGAAGGGAATTGCTAGCCTCATGCCATCTGAGGGTGACATACAAAAGCCAGGGAATATCTTAACTGCAATTCTGTTTCCTTGGCATTATGCTACCCTTGGCAAAATACAGGAAAAATAGAACAGATCAAGCCCTCCCACTGATAAATGTAGTATGTGAGAAGATGAATTTAACCTTAGCTTTAGAATACAACACATTTAGAGAATTCCATTGCAAATCAATCAATAACATGGAAGCATACTTAAGAGCTTGAAAAAGTCACTTTTTAAAATTGTAACTCTCAGATAGTCAGTTGCTCTGGTGGTTCAGAGATTATGGAAGCTGTAGTCTAATAAGGGCGTCTTCCAAACCTTGGAACACTCAGAGTCATTTTAGTGTCCTACTCTCCTCGGAGGGGTATGGAATGAGGTTGAATCATGACCACTGGTTGAACACAAAGGGTCATTCACTCTTCTCACTCGTTCTTCTTTTTTACATGAACACCTTATGTGTATCCAGGTTTAAGGACAATGCACTGTAACTGCTGAAACTGTTCACTGATCTCTCTCCCTCTGTTCTGTCTTTAAGTTCTATGGAAAGGAAGCCACGGTTCATTACCAGCTGCTATTACTTGGAAGCTCTCCCAGAGGCATGTCAACTTAGGACCAAAGCATACGAGCTGGCAATTAGAAGGTGAAAAATCACCATCCCTGAAGAGATATTTTTCTTCCAAGCTGCCATGTCCGTGCAGTCAAGTTGGAAACCCGAAGCCACTGTTTACCTCTCAATAACTAATCACTGAACAAAAACTAGCTAATGTGTAACTTCTAGAGCTATAGAAACATCATGCTGGGCTACTCAAACATTCTTTACCTCTGAAGGAAACTCTGCTTCTAATTGCAGAGCTGTGCTTTGTCATTTAAAGCGGTAGGTGGGATTGCTTTTTTTTAATCATCCTTAGGTAGGGTTTGGCTTCAGCTGGCCTTATGATGAGGCCATAAAGAAATGTAGGGGACTTGAAGGCAATGGCATTCCCCCCCCTCGGCTGTGTTCGGTATCTGGTAGCATAAGTGGACAGACATTGGGTGTGGGTAGAGAGAGAAGAGAGCCAATTAATCTTATTGGGATGTGAATCAACAGAATTGGCCTATGAGAATGATTAGCAGAATGGTTATCAAGCCAGTTGTATCCCTCACCTTGACATCTTAGAAGAAAAGCTAAGAGCAGGGATGGCGTTTTCATGTTGTCACAGAGACAAGGCTTAGGATTGATGCCTACATCTGGGCTCACCGATTGTGATTCCTAAGTGATATGAGGGGAATCTTGCTAGATAAGTCCAAAATCTAGACTAAACCTGACCAAGCAGGTAACATGGCAATGCAGAATGAAGGGGAAAGAAACAGGTTTTTTTGCAGCCTAAAGAGTGGCAGTACATACCCAGAT